ACGGAATAGGCCACCGGGAGGTCATTGTGTTTGTTGATGGATTGCGGGCCTGAGAACCATGACTCGAGCAGCTCGCGGCTCACGCGGTTGTCACCCCTTGCGAGGATTTCGGCCTCTTGAAATTTGAAATTATGGCCGGGTCCCGTCGAGTGTGCCGCCACCTGAGAGTTAGCGTCTCCCCGCCTCACTGCTGCTGCGTGCTCGGCAAGTCGCGTACGGAGTAATCTCCCAGTTTCTCCGACATAATTGCTTTGTCCGCAACTACACCAGATCCGGTAAACGACTCCAGACGTTTCCTGCCGTGGCAGCGGGTCTTTTGGCCTCATTACTTGGCGCCTAATGGTTGCTTCCGGCCTGTGTGCAACACCAACTCCAAGTGGAGTGAGAAGACGACTGACGGCTTCCGAGACGTTCTTCACGTACGGAAGAGCCCGCCAAAATTTGGGGCTAGTTGGATTTGGTCTCTGGTGTCCTTTTCGTATGCACTGGTTGACAAAGTTGCGCGGGTAGCCATTGGCTCTCATTACCCGTCGAAGATATTGTAATTCAGCAACCTTGTCTTCCATTTCACTGCAGTGCGTCTCAACACGCCGGTATAGCGCCCTTACGCAACTGCGTTTGTGACTGATCGGGTGGTTGCTATTGAAGTTCAGTATTTGCGTCGTATTTGTCGCTTTCCTGAACACTTTGGTTTTTAGGCCACCACAATCTTTGCGGCAGACGAGGACATCCAGGAAGGCCAGCTGATTGTTTTCCTCCTCCTCCATCGTAAATTGAATGTCCGGGAAGACGGCGTTGAGTTGTTCTTTGAAAGTCAGCACCTGATCCCGTTCGATGACGACGAAGGTGTCATCCACATACCGAGCCCAGAATTTCGGTCTGTGGTGTCGGAAAACCAGCGACTCTAGCCGTTGAAGGTCCGCCTCGGCTATGAGTCCCGAAATCGGCGAACCCATTGGCGTTCCCTTCACCTGCTCGTAGATTGTTCCGTCGAATGTAAAGTACGTCTTGAGACAGAACTTCAGGAGCTGGATGATTTGGGCGTGTCCGAGGCGATTCTCCGTTTCGTCGTACTTCTCTCGTAGGAGTAGTTCGATTGTCTCGACTGCCAGGTCCTGCGGGATAGAAGTAAAAAGGGACGTGACATCAAAGGAAACCATGATATCGCTTGGCAGGAGACTTACTCCTTTAAGTTTCTCCAAGAATTGCGTTGACGAGCTGACTGTGGTGTTCGAATCGGAGGTCAGAAACTTGAGACGTTGGAACAGCCACTTTGCCAGTCCGTAGGTTGGAGTGACCTTTAGTGACACGATAGGCCGGAGAGGAGCGCCCTCTTTGTGCACTTTTGGGAGACCGTAGAATCGGGCTAGGGCCGTTTCTTGTGCTCTCGCCATGCGTCGGTCGATTGGCGATTTTGCATCTGAGTTCTCCATTGCCAACAGCGTCGCGTTAATCTCGCGTGTCAGCGTTTTCATGGGGTTGAATTCGCATGGCACATAGGACTGACGATCATCCAACAAGCTTTTGGCTTTTTGATTGTAGTCTGTCCTGTCCAATACGACCGATGAACGCCCCTTGTCCGCAGGCACGATAACGAGGTCGTTGTCGGCCCTGAGTTCTTTAAGTGCATCACGCTGGACCTTGGAAAGCACATCGCGCGGCCTATGAGCCATGAGGAGGGAGGACACTTGGTGTCGAATGAGGTTCTTCGTTTCGTCTATCGCTCCCGTCTGGCTGAGGATTGATTCCACTGCTGCGATCATGTTGGCAGGTTTAGCATCGGCTGTGTTGAATGAGGCCTCATGCCGTAAAACCTGCATTTGTTCCTCCGTCAGCTCCTTTGACGACAAGTTGTGCACCAGTTTGTCGTTCTTGGATGACATTGGAGCAGGCAGCTTACGAAATTTGCTCTCTAGGGCTGCCTCTCGCGTTGCTTTATGTTCGCGGGTTCGTTCGGCCAGCCTCTGCTGAAGCAGTTTTATGCCGTCCTCGCCCATGAACTCGCAGCACCTTGCCTTCTCTTGGTCAATCCTCTAACGGTATTTGCGAATCCGTGAGTGACAGTCTTGAAGGAGCACTCGGATCATTCGTCGGCCGTGCTGAAGTACTGCGCGTCTCGCCAGCTCTGTGTTGACCGGAGGTTTGTATGAAACGCACTTCGGCAGCACATTGTTGTCGAGACACCTGTGCAGAAATCGAATCTGCGCATATGTTGATGACTCTCGAAGGGCAAAGGTTTCCCACCGTCGAGCCGATCGGAGCGCTTCGCGCCCAAAAAGATTGCTGATAGAAGCGAACAGGCGAGTCCCAGGTAGCAGTTCAGAAGATGAAGATGCGATCACTGGGACAAGAAGTTTATTGGCCTGACGTTTCGGGTTCTCACTCGAGCCCATCATCAGAGACATTCGCAGATAGAGGTA